GCTGTGCAGCAGGTGGGGGGCATGTGGGAGGAGGGGCACGTCTACCACCATTGAGCTATTGTTGCAATCAGTTTGGGGAGGGGCCTTGTCCAACAGAAGGTGCTGCGCAGGAGGAGGGCCCCGTCTGGCACAGAGGAGTTTGGGCAAATCAGCTCGGGGAGGGGTCCCGTCTAATCGAGCGCGATATGCAGCAAAAGGGGCATGTGAAGGGGGATGGGCACGTCTAGCAACGAGGAATTGTTTCAAAGTTCGATTGGCGATGGAGCACTGTGTAATAGACGGTGCTCTGCTGGAGGATGGATACGCTTACTACCAAAATGATGCTTGAATCAGCTTGGGGAGGGGCTTGCCTAGCGGAGGGTGTTGCGCAAAAGAGGAGTGCTGTGCAGAGGGGAAGACACGTCTAGCACCAAGGACTGGTTTGTTGGTTCTACAAAAAAGCTTGGGGAGTGGCCTTCTCTCATACAAGGTGCTGTGGAGCAGAGGAAGGGCCCTTGAGGGAGGGGAAGGGGCACGTCTAATATCAAAGGTGAATGAGCATGGGGACGGACTTGCCTGGCAGAGGGTGTTGTGCAACAGGGAGGGCTGGTGTGGAAGAGGGGTGCGTCGAGCACAAAAGGTTGTGTTGAGGATGGGCCTTGTCTAATGAAGGGTGCTGCGCAACAGAGAAGGCCTGCGCAGGGAAAGTGACGCGTCTAGCTTCAAGGAGCTTATTGAATCAGCTTGGCGAGGGGCTTTGCCTAATAGAGGATGCTGCGCAACAGAGGGTGCTGTTCAGAAGGAGGGGCAATTCTAGTATCAAACGACATGCTTTAATCGGCTTGGACCTGTGAAGCAGCAGGGACCGCTTCCCAATACGCGACAAGACCTTAGGCTAAAAGCCTGCATCAATCCTTTGCTGATATCTACGGGTGGTGCTGGTGGGTTCCCGCCTGCATTCGACTTTAAGAGCGCGAGCCTGTGCTGAGGCATCGTCTCCAAAACTCCTACAAAACCAAGCCTTCAAATCGTGATGGAAGAACAGATTTGGGAATTTGTGCAGACACCCCCTCGAACCGTGCACACTCTGGTCACTAAGCACGCAGATGAGTCTACCATCGATGGAGATGCGCCTGAAACAAGGAGTCCTGAGCCACTCAGTCTTGAGCGCCTGGGTGGTGCACCCCTGACAGAACCCCCCCCCTCGCCCACTCCACGCCCTTCCTCGTCGCTCTCTTGATCCCGCTCTCTCTCTCTCTCTCTCTCTCTCTCTCTCTCTCTATATATATATATATATATATGCTGCTCCTCCTGCTCCTGCTCCTGCGGATCCTGCTCCTTCTGTCCCTCCGCTCCTCCTGCACACTCATGCCCCTTCCTCCGCCAACTCTGCTGCACCTGGGCTCCAGACACCGGACGCCAGGCACCCGGCACCCGCGCCTCGGGCGCCCCGGGCCCCGGACATCGGTCTCGCCGGACGCCAGGACCCCGGGCCCGGGCCCATGGGCCCCAGACACCGGCCGCCGGAAGCCAGAACCTCAGGCCACAGGCCACAGGCCCCCGGCCTCCAACAACCGGGCCCCGGGCCCCCCAGCCCCGGACGCCAGACCCCGGGTCCCATTGCAGGCCCTCGGGGCCCAGACGCCGGACGCAGGGCCCAAGGCTGCTTCCGGGCCCCGGGCCGCGGGCCACAGGCAACTAGAGCACATCACCTGCGCCAGGGGCCTCCATTTCTCCATCCCTTCGAGAGGCAAAGAGAGAGGCATCTTCGAGAGGCCCCAGAGGCCTCTTCGAGAGACAAAGAGGCCTCTTCGAGAGGCAAAGAGAGAGGCCCCAGACCGCCAGGATCCTTCACGAAGTCTGCTGTGCTTGTATTTCGCGTCGCATCGGGTCTCAGGAGTTCTACGGAGGATGGCGCCAAAGCGATCCCATCTGGAAAACCGTAAGACGGCCCGCTGCCCAGCCCAAAGACATCCTCAAGAGAGTCCCAAGACGCTCTGGAGAGTCCCAAGACGACCGAAAAGGGCCCCCAGTGCAGCTCCATAGAGCGCCAAGATATCGCAGAAAGGCCCCGTGAGGTGACTAACATGCTTCTACGACGAGCCACAAGAGGCTCAAATAAGCGCACGAGAGGCTCCAAGAAAGGCGCCGAAAGGGGCGCGCCATTCTCCCTGGGTCCCTCCGTCCCTCCATCCCTGCATCCCTCCTTTGCTCTATCCGTGTATCCCTCCATGCCTTCGTCCCTCCTCCCCTCATGTTGCTCCATCCCCCCTCTCCTCCATCCTCACTCCCTCCCATCATCCCCTCCATCCCTCATCATGCCTCCTCCATCATTCCCCCTCCCCTCCTCCCCCCTCCCTTCATACCCTCAACTCTCCTCCCTCCTCCCTCCCTCCCTCCATCCATCCATCCGTGAGTCCATCTATCCCTCTATCCCACCATCACTCCATCCCTCCATCCCTCCTCCCTCCTCCGTCATTTCTCCTCCCTTCATCCCTCTTCGCTCCTCCCTTTCCCTCCCTTCCCTCTTTCCATACTTGCCTCCGTCCCTCCTTCCACCCATGCCTTTAACCCATCCCTCGCTCCGTCCCACAATCACACACAGACATACAAACAAATGAACAAAGGAGCGACCGAACAGCCCAAAAACAAAGAACCAAACAAACAAACACCTTAACAAACAAAAGCGCAAACAAACAAACCATCAATCAAGCAAACAAGAAAACAAACAAACAAACAAACAAACAAACAAACAAACAAACAAACATACATACATACATACATATATACATACATACATGCATGCATACATACATACATACATACATACATACATACATACATACATATATACAAACAACCAAACAAACAAACAAACAAACAAACAAACAAACAAACAAACAAACAACAACAAAAAACAAACAAACAAACAAACAATAAAACACACACAAAACACAAACAATCAAACAATTAACCAGGATGGTGGAACTGGCGTCGACCCAAGTGGATCCACGTCCGGAAGTGACGTGCTGAGCGGCAGCGTTTTCTGCGGAGGCGATAATGCAATGTACCCAATGTATCCAATTGTTGCATCATTGCCACATATTGTATTGGGTTACATTATTATGTCTCCCCCCCTTACCCCCCCCCCCCCCCCCCCAGCGCTACGCCACATCCACCAACCCAGGCTGACGACCCCCTCCTGGGGCTCAAAAACCTACCAAAACCTATGGAACATATATGATTTGGGCATGTTGGCCCTCTTGGGGTCCAACAGGGCCTTATGACGGCTCCAGATGGCCCCAAGACGGGCCAAGACGGCCCCAAGACGGCCCAAAAAGCTCCCAAGACGCCCCAAGAGGGCCCCAACAGGACACCCAAGAGCGCCTCCAGAAGCCAAAATCATGAATTTTCCATAGGGGTTCGAAAGATTTCAACGTTCTTGCCTAGTTCGACCCTCAGAGCCCAGGACGGCCGAAGCAGCCTCCAAAATGGCTCCAAGACGGCTCAAGAAGCCCTCAAGAGGGCCCCAAGACGGTCCAAGAGGGCCCCAAGAAGGCCCCCGCAGGGGCCAAACCGCGCAAGAACGCACCAAGACGGCCCAAGACGGCCCCGCAGGGGCCCCAAGAGGCCCCGAAGAAGCCCCCTGCAGGCCCCAAGAGGCCCCCAAGAGGCCTCCAAAAAGCCGGCAAAAGGCCCCCAAGAGGCCCCACAACGACTGGACTGTACGTGCTCCCGACGTGCACCCCGCGAAGCGAGAGGAATCCACGTCCAGAAACGGCGTGTTGCAGGAGGCAAGTTTGCGTGTGCATTCCAGCAGTTGCGTCCTCACTCTTCACAGTAGACCCAGAAGTATTCAAAAGCGCGCCCTTAATCCCAATGTCATGAGTCTGGAGTTAGTGTTTTCTGCATCCGATGTACGAGGTCATTGTTATAGTTTCCTGCCTCCGCCTCATTTCCTTCATTCACTCATCCGCATCCTTGCTCGCTCATTCACACTGAGACACACTCATATTCGTACCCCCCCCCCCCCCATCCTCAGATCCACTCACATGTAGACCCACTCATAATCAAACAATTCATACTCAGACTAACCCATACTTAGACTGAGGACCCTCACTCGCTCACTCAATCCCGCCTACTGCTCAGACTCATGTTCAGGATTCACCGCAGACTCGATCAAACTCTGACCCGGTCATACTCGATTTCACTCGTGCTCAGACCACTCACACATACACACACACACACACACACACACACACACACACACACACGCACACACACACACACACACACACACACGCACACACACACAGACACAAACACACAAACACACACACACACACAAACACAAACACACACACACACTCACACACACACACACGCATGCACGCACGCACGCACGCACACGCACACGCACACGCACACGCACACACACACACACACACACACATACACACACTCAAAAAAGACACACACACACACACAAGAACATGCTTTTCGGCATCGCGGCGACGCGCGCAGCAGCACAGCGGAGTCAGGCTGATTCTGAAGAAGGCGAGCGGGCACAAGCCAGCTCAAAGACACAGGGGCATGCCAGGTCCACCCACAGGGACACACACACACGCGCTTTTCAGCGACGCGGCGGAGTCAGGCGGAGAGAACGAGAAATGAATCCGAGCGCCGCAGATGCAAGCATGCGCATACACATTGACAAGCACATACTGAGACCCACCCACCGACACTCAGGCTCACACCCAGCAAACGCACTTAAAGCCTTCTACAGTCAAGCTCGCTATACTCAGACTCATTCATACTCGACCTCATCCGCACTCAGTTAGTCCTACTCGGCCCGCTCATACTCAGGCCCACTCATTCAGACTCAGAAGCACTCACACTCAGAATCACCATGCACAGATCAACTCGCTTCTGGGCCCACCTAACGACTCTCCAGCCCCACGATCACCACAATGCTGCTGGCATGGAATCGTGGGAAGAGTTGCTCTTCGGAGCCCATGGTGATCGCGATACGGCACTTGGGCCGCCCACGGTGGGGGGGTCGACCAGAGGTATTCCATGGGCCCGCTCGGGCACAAACTGCGGGGACCTCTCTGGCGAAACGCCCACTCTGGGAAGCAGACGCATCTCTTGCCGCGGCGCACCACGAAGAACGCGTTGTGGCAGGCATGACAGGAATCCCGCCCCCACCGACCGCCGACCTCGCAGGAGAGGACCAGGAGGCCGCCGGTTGCAAGTTCATGGTACCTGGTCGTTTGCGCAGCTCGGCCTCTCGTAGGGCGGCCCCGTCGGCGTGGAAAGTGCGCGGTCGGTGCCAGCCGCCCGGTGTGGTGTCGACCAGAAGCGTTCCACGGACCCGCTTGCGCCCAAAGTGCAGGGACCTCTCGGACGAAACGCCCGCCCTGTGAAGTGGGCGCAGCCCTCGTCACGGCCCCCTGATCGCCGCGATGTAGCGGGCGTCCGCCCCAGGGGCTTGGCGATCAGAGGTCTCCCACGAGTTCCACCGCGGCCCACAAGGATCCCAAGGGGCCCCAGGAGGGTCCCCAAAGAACCCCAGGACGTGCAAGAGGGGGCCCAAGCCGACCCCAAGGTGGCTAGAAAGACTGCCCAAGAGGCCCCCGAGACGGCCCAAGAGAGCCCCACGAGGACTCCCAAGCGGTCTCCCGCAGACCCGCAACAGGCAGACCCGGCACGGCAGACCCGGCGTAAGAAGCCCGCATCGCCCGGACAACACGCGCTCTGGACGTGCACCCCGCGAAGCGAGAGGAATCACGACGCTGGCAACGCCGGGGGCTCCGTGTCACGTGTCAGGTCCGCCACGGCGGCGCTCGCAGCCGCGAGCTCGCTGGCGCCCGCGCCCGCCACCTCGACGGCCGCCAGAGCGGCGCGGGCGCCGTGCACCTCCCTCTGCCTCAGCGCCTCGCCCAGCTGCTCCTCCGCCTGCACGCGAGCCGCGGCCTTCGCCTTCTCCTGGGCGCTCTGCCGCTCCTCGGCCCGCGCCGTCGCCTCGGCCTCCGCCGCCGCCCTCGCCGGGGCATCTGCCTCGGCCGCCCTCGCCGGCGCCTTCTGGGCCCGAGCCCTGGCCTCTGCCCTGGCCGTGGCCTGGGCCAGGGCCTCTTCCTGGGCGCGGGCCTGCGCGGCGGCCTCGGCCTCGGCCCTCGCCAGGAGCCTCTCGCAGGTCCTCGAGGAGGACTGGGCCGCGGCCTCGGCTCTCTCGAGGAGGCCCGCTGCCCTCGCCTCGGCCTCGGCAGCGGACTTCGTGGCCGCGGCCGCCGCCTTCTCCTCGAGCTCCGCGGTCAACCGCGGCGTACAAGGCTCGCCCTCCAGCGGCCTCCACTTCAGGTCCGACACCTGCGCTCTCCACTGCTGCCTGGCCTCTTGCTGCCACACTTCCCTCATCCGCGCCTCGTGGTTGTGCCTGGAGGTCGCCGTCCAGCCACGGTAAGACTGCCACGCGAAGCTGGTATCATCGCTTGGGTGGGCCTGCGAGTGGCCGAAGGAGCCGCTCGCGCCCAGAGCGCGTGGCGTCCCTCCCTTCCGGAAGGCCTCGTGCGCCTTGGCCTCGCAGCTCTTCGCGTATGCAGCGTACCACGTGAAGCGCGCCTCTCGCTCCGACCCGAGCTCTCCCCCGGCCACGGGCTGGGTCCTGACCGCGGAGACGGCGTACATGGAATGAGGATTGCCGGCGTCGGGGGCGGCGCTGCCATAGGCCTGCCGCTTGCGCGAGAACTGGAAGCTCGCATGGGTCTCGGGGTGCAGCGGCGAGACCAACGTGCCGTGGCAGCTGAGCACGCTCAGCGGCCGCCCCGCGCTGGGCTCTGGGGACGCGCTGCCCGCCGGCTCCGTCAGCGCAGAGCGGCCTGCAGCAGCGAGCGCCATGGGGCCGGCCCGCGCGCCGGCTGTTTTCTCGCTCGCTTCGTGGGGGTCGCCCGAGCCGGGGCCACGAGCCACGCGGCTCCACACGCGCTCCATGCACACATGCAGTCCTCGCACGTGCGCGTGCACGGACCAACAGTGCACACCCATCCTCGGGGATGGACGGAGCCCCCCTGTAGCAAAACGTGATTCAGTGAAAACGACCTCGGGCCCCAACCTGGCGGGCGCAAGCCTGGGAAATGGCGGCCGCGGCGCCCTCTCGAGAACCGAAAACGGACAATTCACGAATCGACGCGTCAGGGGGACGGGTTCTGTCCACTCCCGACATACATCTGGTATTGCCCGGCTTGGTCTAAGCGGGGCATGTCCTGCAAGCTTCTTCGAGCCGAGCCCGGTCTTGGCGACAAAGGGCCCCCGTGAGGGCCCAGGCCCCACCGAGGATCGAGGATCGGGCGAGGATCGAGGATCGAGGGTCGAGGATCGAGCGAGGATCGAGGATCGAGGATCGAAGATCGAGGGTCGAGGATCGAGCGTCGATCGAGGATCGAGGATCGAGGGCCGAAGATCGAGGGTCACGCGAGGAGCCAGGGTCGAGGGTCGAGGGTCGAGGATCGAGGATCGAGGGTCGATCGAGGATCGAGGGCCGAGGATCGAGGATCAAGCGAGGATCGAGGATCGAGGATCGAGGATTGAGGATCGAGGATCGAGGATCGATCGAGGGTCGAGGATGGAGGGCCGAGGATCGAGGATCGAGCGAGGATCGAGGGGTCGAGGATCGAGGATCGAGGGTCGCCCAGGGCCACCCGTGGGGACAGGGGGCCGCGAGCTCTGGCCCAGCCATCTTGCAGTATCAGGTCGGGCACGTCCGCCGTACAGGCGGATTTTGAACCAAGAATAAAAAACATAGTCAAAACATTGTCGAAGAATACAGAAAATCGATTTTGAACATAGATACAACGTTGTCAAAACAATATTGTACCTATGTCAAAACACTGTCAAAAAACAATGTCGCATCAGATAGAAAACAGAAAACATAAAGATCTTGAACAAAAAGGTCTTGAACAAAGAATTAAAAAAAATACCAAAGAGTTGTCGAAGAATCGTCCCCAGACTATGCTTGGACTAGTCTTGAACGCTCCTCCTGTAGAGTGGGACACGCCCGACCGAAGTGCGGCACCGAGCGGTACGGCCAGGAGGCGCCCGCCACGGAGCACGTGGCGTGTGGGATGTCTGCGCGCGCGCTGCGGCCCCTGGGAGGGCGGCGCACACACCTCCTCCTCCTCCTCCTCCGCCTCCTCCTCCTCCTCCTCCTCCTCCTCCTCCTCCTCCTCCTCCTCCTCCTCCTCCTCCTCCTCCAGGATTGGAAGCGAGGGGGCGAGGGGGCAAGGTCGCAGCAGGCGCAGCGAGGCCGATCGAGCGGGATCGGTCGAGTGAGATCGGTCGAGTGAGATCGACAGCGAGATCGACGGAGTGAGGCGCTGATTCCTCCTTCTCACCCGAAGGGTGGTCATTGAGATATTACTATGTTTCGGGGGCGCGGAAACATGGCTCAGCGATCCATGGATTCGGCGCGCGGTCGCCACATCCATGGATCGGGGAGTTGCCCTCTCCGAAATGCGGCCAGTGCCGCCTCGCTCGGCGGCGGAAATCCGCGATTTCCTATGAAAACGGGACCCGTCGCGAATCCACGCCCCCTTGATCCATGTTTGCGATCGCCTGAATGTTTGGGTGGCGCCGACGATGCGCGGAAGGGAAGTGATGGGACGGCAGCGGCCTGCCCTGAGATTAGGTCGGGCGTGTCCTCCTACAGGGGGATTTGGGACGAACAAAAAAAAATGAGAAATACTCAAAAATCGTCAAAAATAGTCCAAATCACCATCCGCCGCTTATTTTTTGAAGATTCCCCCTGTGAAGGGACCGGCCCGATGTCAAACTACTGTGTTTGGGTGGCGCTGGCGATGCGCGGAAGCGATGGGGCGGCAGCGGCCTGTCCTAGGCTACACGCAAGAGTGACCCTGGGTAAGTGACCTTTGGTGCGCGGCTTTTGGGGGGCCGCGGGGGGACCAAACTCAGGCGCGCAAGACGGTACTATCGCATCGCAATCGGTGATCGGGGGACCCCATTGTGCCCGCACCAAAGGTCACTCCAGCGAAAGGTCACTCTTACGTGTAGTCGATGTCCCGAGAGCCTCGCGCCTCAATCTCTTCGAGCCAAGCGTTGCCGCTCCAGCTTCGGGCCCCGGGGCCCTCGGGGCCCTCGCAGGCCGATCCGGCTCGGGTCCGGGGCTCTGGCCTTGGGTCGGGCACGTCCCCCTACAGGAGGATTTTGGAAGAAAAATAATTATCCCGGCAAAGCAACCTAACAGCGATTTGTATAAGCATATCTGGAAGCATTCCCCTTAAGATTCAGGTGAGAATCAAGTTGTAGAATTCTGATGTTCTCGCAGTCGCAGTCGCATTCGCAATGACAGTCGCAGTGGCAACGGCCTTAGGATCCAATGGAATCCTAATAATTCCTAGGGAGCATCCTTAGGAATCCATAGGAATCCTTAGGAATCCTTAGAAAACCTTAGGATGAGGCCGAGGCAGCTTCGGCCTGCCTCGGCCTCATCCTCAGCCTCAGCCTCAGTCTCAGCCTCAGCCTGCCTCGGCCTGAGCCTGCCTCGGCCTCAGCCTCAGCCTGCTTCAGCCTCAGCCTCAGCCTGTCTCAGCCTCAGCCTGCCCCAGCATCAGCCTCAGCCTCAGCCTCAGCCTGCCTCGGCTTGCCTCGACCTCAGCCTCAGCCTGCCTCGGCCTCAGCCTCAGCCTCAGCCTGCCTCAGCCACAGCCTCAGCCTGCCTCGGCCTCAGCATGCGTCAGCCTCAGCCTCAGCCTGCCTCAGCCACAGCTTGCCTCAGCCTCAGCCACAGCCTCAGCCTCAGCCTCAGCCTGCCTCAGCTTCAGCCTCGGCCTCAGCCTGCCTCGGCTTTCAGCCTCAGCCTCAGCCTGCCTCGGCCTCAGCCTCAGCCTCCTCGGCCTCAGCCTCAGCCTCAGCCTCAGCCTCAGCCTCAGCCTCTCAGCCTGCAGCCTCAGCCTGCCTCAGCCTCAGCCTCAGCCTCTGCCTCAGCCTCAGCCTCAGCTGCCTCGGCCTCAGCCTGCGTCAGCCTCAGCCTCAGCCTGCCTCAGCCTGCCTCAGCCTCAGCCTCAGCCTGCCTCGGCGTGCCTCAGCCTCAGCCTCAGCCTGCCTCGGCCTCAGCCTGCCTCGGCCTCAGCCTGCCTCAGCTCGGGCATTCAAAATATGGCACAGGACTGGTGTTCTGGGAACACGAAGATCGCGAAGTGGCCCACAGTTGGCTCCGGGCAATCAAAATATGGTACAGGAATGGTGTTCTGGGAACACGAAGAACACGAATTGGCTTACAGTTGGCGCCGGGCATTCATAATGTGGCCTGGGAATGGTGTTCTGGGAACACCAAGAACACGAAGTGGCCTACGGTTGGCTCCGGGCAATCAAAGTATGGCCTGGGAATGGTGTTACGGGAACACGAAGAACACGAATTGGCTTACAGTTGGCGCCGGGCATTCATAATGTGGCCTGGGAATGGTGTTCTGGGAACACGAAGAACACGAAGTGGCCTACGGTTGGCTCCGGGCATTCAAAATGTGGCCTGGGAATGGTGTTCTGGGAATGGATTCCTAAGGATTCTTGAGAATTCCTAAGGATTCCTAAGGATTCCTGGGGCTGCCGGATCTGTCCGGATCCCCTGTCCGAATCCCGCCCAGACCCCCCTGGGGCGTCAAGATGCTCTCTTTTGACCCCACTAGAAACCTATCAGTCTTCGCTGTTAGGTAAAAAGAATACCCCAAAGAATACCCAAACATATTCAAAAAATGTTTTAGAAAAAAATTGTCCACGGACTCTTCTGGAACTATTTTTGAACATTCCCCCTGTAGGGGGACATGCCCGGCCAAACTCTGGCCCTGGGGATCCAGGGCTCCAGTCGTGGTGCTTTACGATGTGAGCTCGCGCCCGATCCCCTGTCTGATGGCTGGTTTCAGCCGATACCTCGGCGAGATGCGACAATGACACATCGGCAGGCTGCGACAATGACGCACTCGGCCGCGACAACTCATAGGGACCGCAGTTCCTCCTCCCTCCTCTTCTCTCTCCCTCCTCCCTCATTCCTCCTCCACTGGTGGAGCGCAGAGGGGGATAGGGGGAGGGGGGGGAAGGCTTCTCAGAAGGAGGCTGCTCCTTAGAAGGCGACACCCTTACATCTGCAGGCAGGGCCCGTGCCTTCTGAGGAGCAGGGGTGCTTCTGAGAAGCCGTCCCCCCTCCCCCTATCCCCCCTCTGCGCGAGGCCGAGTCCACGCAGGAAGATGGGGTCCAGGGTTCTGGTCGTCATAGTGAGCGTTTTTTTTATCCGGCGTTTCGACATTGGGCGGCAAGGGGGGGGGGGGAGCCGGGGGGGTCTGGCTCCGGACCTCTGCTCAGTGCGGCTGTTTGCGACAGTCCGCCCCACGAGGGGAGACCCCACCTGCTCGAAACAAAAACAGCCAAGACCCGCTCCACGGTTGGTGGGGGGGGGAGGCGGGGGCGAGGGCCCCCGCCGATCGGCGAAACAAGGAATAAAAAAACGCTCACCCTCTTGCACGACGTCTCGCGCTTCGCGCCGTCGGACCTCAGGAGGCGGGCCGGGGTCTGGGCCCCCTTCGCTGGCGAGGGTCACCCCGACGCGTGGCCGATGTGCTGACGCCCACGAGGCGGGGAGGCCGGCGGCTCGTCGCCCGTCCGTCCTGCGTCCGAGGAGAACGAGGTTGCTCCCCTTGGATGGGCTGCTTTTCCACCACCACTACCATGGGGAGGAGAGGGAGCAAGAGGAGGAGGGGGGTAAGGAGGAGAAGGAGGAGGAGGAGGAGGAGGAGGGGGAGAGGGGGAGGGGGAGGAGGGAGGAGGAGGAGGAGAGGAGAGGAGGAGGAGGAGGAGGAGGAGGAGGAGGAGGAGGAGGAGGAGAAGAAGGAGGAGGAGGAGGAGGAGGGGGAGGAGGACGAGGAGGGGGAGGAGGACCTCCCCATTCTCCCTTCTTTCCCGTCCTGCCTATGGTAGTGGTGGTGGAAAACTGGCCAATTGCTCTTCCAGGCCGAGGCCTGCGCAGAACACAGCGCCTGGGCCCCTTACGGGTCCCAGGCAGGAGGGTCCCGGCGACCTTCCGAGGCAGCCGCGGCGACGGA